AAATAAACATTTTGCCAGGACAGCCAGACAGCACAGAAGAAAGGCCAGGAATTTCTACCATTGATCTTGACCAGGCAAGGAAAGAAGGCCAAACTGTTCCTCTAGCTGGAAAGGAGCAAAGAGTTCCTGGCAGATGAAAGGATCTAACTAACAGTTTGTGAACTGGTCTTGGTTTTAACAGGTGTAATAACCAGGCAAAAGTGTTTTTAGCATACCTGTGGCCAAGGAGGCAAAAGTACTGAGAGTGAGCTATTCTTGTCTTGTCTTTGGATTAAAATTTATCCTGTGCTGGTAGTAACACAGAGAGATGGTCTGCTTGGAATGAAAGTCTCGTGTCAGGACAGCTCTTTGTGGAGGCAGGTCTTCCTCAGAGTTAGTAACCTCGTAACAATTTAACACCAAGATTAACAAATAAAAAGGACATCAAAATAAATTAATTTTGAAGGTACTCCCTTGAGTTCAGGGTTAAGGTACCTCATGAAGAATGCACAGGAAGGCTGGGCCATCCTTTCTGCTGTGTTTGGTGTTTGAATGCCTCATGCTATTGACAGTCGTGGTTTTATTAACTTATATAAAAAAAAGAGCTTGCAGGAAAATATTCCAACATCTTGGAATATTAATGTAATGTATTCCAACATTTTTTAATATTAATGTCAGAGCCCTGGTACAGCTGCTAGCACATTATATGTGCTGACTGGACAGCTTGTAATATGCATCCTAACATGCTGCTCACCTCATCTGACATTTTGCTCCTGATTTATTACACAATAACAATGCTTGATTTGGGGTTTCTTGAAGGTGCATACTAGATATTCTAGGCTATACAACAGGTCCACATAGCAAATGAATTGTTCCTAACACCTAAGTGATTTGAAAACTTATTCCTGACTGTTGTATGCTTCCTCTCCATATAATTAGGCAGAAAGCTAAAAACCTTACAAAGAGATGCAAAACTAGAGCACACATGATACCTCACAATATTATATAACATGAAAAAGGTTATTAACAAGGAACACAAATGAACTCAAAACATGACACCACAGTAAACTGACCTTTGTAAAGTGTTGCTACAAAGGCCCTCCAACTTGCACTCTGGCTGCTTTTCTGCTTATAACAGCCACTGTAATGCCTGTGATTTCTACTGCTCTCTCTTTTGATGCACTTGAGCATCTTAAACTGTTCCACGAATTTATGTTAACAATCCCTCTCTCTGTGAATACATTGCTACCACCCCATGATACATATGTGATTGAACATATCTGTAGAACACAACTGAAGAGAGATTCTTCATATCCACGTGAATACTAAAATAGGTACACAACTGGTTTTCAGCAGCTCACTAAGCATCTGTCAGTGACTTGAGGCAACTACCTCCTCAGGTAGTTTGAACTTGATGTGGACAGGCTCCAGATTCTATTTGGCCTGGCAGCACAGAGCAAAGCAGTGAACTGGACATGTTGACCTCTGGCCAGGGCTCTCCAACCCAACTGGCTTTCTTTTTTTCCCCTCTTTTTTTATGCCCTGTAACAAGGTTCTTCTTCTATTAGTATCTACCCTGTGTCAAAATGGCACCATTGCATTACAGTATTCTTGTTATTTATTTGCAAATTTAGTCCTTGTGAATGCCTGCTTTAAATTCGAGTGTGTTTAACCCCAAACCTGTAATAGTAGGTGGCTTAGAACTTTACACAATCTAGCAAAAAAAGCATTTTATTATAAATAAGGGAACAAGAGACTATCAGTGCTGTTTAAATTACTTCCTTTCTTTTATTAAAATAAACTCAGACAATATATCACAAGTAACTCATTGGAATGAAAACCCTGAAAATACCAAACATACGTAATATTTGGTTCTTGATCAGCAAAGATTGTATGTATCAGCTGATCCTTCCACAAGTCAGGATATATAACATTTGATGTATACACTTGGAAAATGCAATGCAATCCTAAAACTAGTTACTTAAAATTTTGGAATACATTTGCCTTAAAGCACAGTAATACCTACTCCCAAGCCGCACTTTAGCATGCCATTTTACTTGCCCCTCTGCAAGTGTTATATACTGTACCTGTAGCCTTGAGAAGTCAAGATTCCTTGGGATGTTCTTGCCTTGGAGATTTCGTCAAGTAGATCCTCTTACTGACACCTGAACCCAGGGTGACCTCGGACCATGCAGGCATGCTAGAATTTCACACGACTCATCTCTGTAGGTATTATATAGTCTGAAGCCAAAATATCAGGGGAATTTGTTGTCCTATAAATGTAGACCCATATTTCGCAATAAATACTTAGATGAGGACTAGCTTTGATACACAGCACAGCTCCTCTGCCTGCTACAGGGTAGGCAGCTGCCTGGGTGCTAACGATTTACTCCACATTCAACCAGTGTATCATGCCCTGGTTATCTGACATATGAACAAGTAGAGATTAGAATAATTACCATCAATCTCTTCTCATAATACATACTTTTAAAAGGATTTATTTAATAACAGATAACAGATGGGAAAATACACTTGTTCACACACTGTAAAAAATAAAATAATTCATCACTAAGTGTAAGACTTTTGTTTGCTTCTAGCTGTCCCAGCATCTATGGCTACATTTCAATATTGGTCATATTTGTGCTCACAGACTGTTTTCCTTACAATTATTTAAATTAATTGATGATTTTAAGCACCACTAGAGGGCACAGAATTATAACAATATTTCTTAGTGGATCACAATAGGAACATCAGGAACTGGAGTTCAGTAATTTTCACAGTTTATTTTGCCGGTCCATGGTTTAAAGCCTCGATTCTATCAACAGTGGTGCTGTGAGCTGTGCCACTGCGCACTCACAGCAATCAAACAAAGCTCAGGGGTGAGTGCTTGCAGGACAGAGGCCTGGCTGAGCAGGTTGGACCATGTGCTCAGTTGAATGGCACACTTTGGCTTTCCAGAACTTGAGTACCAACCCCCAAATATTTTACTTGAGTGACCAAGGCCCATTTAAATCTAAGCATGGAGGAGCATCTGATGCTAAAGGCTGCTGTACATCTTCAGTTGTACATGGATATACAGGGATGCGAAAAATGTGCATATATCAAACCACGGAAATGCAAACAAGTAGTGAATTAAGGATTAACTAACTCAATTTACAATTCAAAGAAAGAAGAGTAGATATGTGCCACTGGAAAGCTTAAATATTAATGGAGTTTCTGTGGATAGTTGTATCAACTACTTAACATCTGTTTTGACATGTGTGCTGTTTCTGCCATCCCTTATCATGAGTTTGAGTGGCTGCTGGGGTTCACATGTTAGAAGGTTCCTGTTTAAAGTTGCCTGCAGTGGAGGAGAAAGTGTGGTGGAGAAAGGAAGAAGTTTAAGCTCTTTATTTAAAGACATCTGATTGAATGGCTTTGGACATGTAGCAGTGAATTAGTACTGTTGATGTGTCCATGTTACATTAGTAGGGGCACAAGTTAATGTTCACAGACAGAACATGCTTCGCAGCTTCTTTTCTGGAAGATGAAGATGGTCTGTTAATCAAAGCTTGAGAGCCTGGCCTCTAAGCAGTCAGTACGAAAAAAACCCAATGAAATTTAATTCAATTTCTGAATGCTTCTATTGAATTTCGCTTAACATTAGCATCCACAATTACTACTTTTCATTAACCCTTCAGGAATTAGCGTCACATTTTCACATCACGGTGCTCGGGCTGCAAAACCAATGACACGCAGCTATTTTTCATGAAGTTGGTGCTGAAGTGCCGGGCGGGGCTCCCAGGCGCCCCCGGGGGACGGCGGGCGCTGCCAAACCCCGGCCCCAGGAGCGGTACCAACAGCGGCTGCCCCGCATCAGGCGGCCGCGGGGTGCGGAGGGAGCGCCGGTGGGGTGTCCGGGAGGTCGCCCCCCGAGCCCAGGCGATAACCGGGGCCAAAGCGGGCACGGTGCGGCGGCCGCGCCTGCGAGTGCCAGGGTGGGTGGTGTTTTTTCCGCAAGCTCACCTTGATGCGGCGGGGCGTAAAAGGGCCGCGCTCGGCAGGGGGAGCATCGCTGTCTCGGCGCAGCGCGGGCACGGAGCGGCAGCACCGCTGTGCTCCGGCCGCACCGTGCCGGGGCCGGAGCTGACGAGGGCCGAAGGGAAGCCCGCAGGGAAGGCAGCCCGCGCCGCCGCCGCTGGGATCTGCCGTCTCGCCGCGGCACGAGGCAGGGACACGGCGGAAGCGCCGAAGAGAAGTGCCGGGCCGCGCCGCCCCCTCGAGGGGACACCCGGTGGCTCGTCTGCGCTGCCCCGCCCGGACCGGCCGCGCTTCCCGGCCGTAGAGGGGTCCCGCTGTCGGCCGATCCTCCCCCGCGCCGCCGCCGGGACTTACGGCAGTTTTGTTACTTTCTCGGACTTACATGGACATTTCCCGGGAGCGCGCGTAGTCCGCGGACGCAGCGTCCCGCCAGGTTCTTGCCGTCCGCCCCGCCGCGGGCACCGCCGCTGCCTCTGCCGCTTGAACCCCGGGACGCGGAGGCGCCCGGCGGCGCGGCCCCTGCCTGCCCCCACCGGCCCGCCTTCCTCGCCTACTTTCTCCGCCGCTCGGAGCGAGAGCAACAGCTTGCCCGGCCCTGCCGAGCCAAACGACGCAGGAGGCAGCGAGGGAGCGGGCGGCGAGAGGCACCACCGAGCCGCGGCCTCTCCGCCGGAGCCGCGCGGAGCTGCCCTCCCTCCCTCCGCCCCGTCCCGGGCCGCGGAATCACGCCGGGCGGCGCTGCGGGGGCCGGCGGCGGGGCGCCGCCGCCCGGGAGGAGAGCGCGCCCGGGGGGGCGCCCGCTCCCTCGTCGGGGCCCCCGCGAAGCTGCCGCAGGCCGGCCCGCCGCGCCGGGCGCCCAAAGTGGCCCGCGCCCCCGCGCCCCGCGGGCGCCGCCCGGAGACCCTCGGCCCCCGCTGCCTCTTGCGGGCTGCCGCCGCAGGGTGCTTGGCCGCCGCCGCCCGCGCCCTGCTCCGCCGCGGCCCCGGCGCCCGCCCCGGCGCCCGGGGTGATGCTATGCCCCGCAACCACGGCGGCGGGGAGGAGGGCGGCTCCGCGGGGCTCTGGGTGAAGAGCGGCGCGGCGGCGGGTATGAAGGATGTGGAGTCGGGCCGGGGCAGGGCTCTGACGAGCTCGGCGGCCCGCGGCGACGGCCTGCTGCTCCTGGGCACCGGCGGCACGGCCGCCCCCGCCGGGCTGCGGGAGGGCCGCCGCGGGAAGCACGGCGCCCGCATGAGCCTGCTGGGGAAGCCGCTGTCGTACAGCAGCGGGCCAAGCTGCCGCAGGAACGCCAAGTACCGCCGGCTGCAGAACTACCTGTACAACGTGCTGGAGCGGCCCCGCGGATGGGCCTTCGTCTATCACGCCTTCGTGTGAGTACCAATACGCTTTCTTCTCCTCCCGTCCCGTCCCGACCCTTTCCGTCAGTTCCCCGGGCCGGCGCCCGCACCTGCCCCGAGCAGAGCCGCGCGGCACCGAGAGTTGCGCACCTTCCCTCCTGTCCCTCCGCTCCCTGGGCATCACTGAATGCCTGTGCACGGGGAGGACAAGTCCCCCGCGAGTCGTGCCGAAAGTGACCGGGAGGCGTCAACGGAGGCGGGGGAGCCGCTGCCACCTGCGGCGCGGCGCCCCGCGGGCGGCGGGAAAATCCGCGTAGCCCTAGGTGGGAGGTCATGGGGGGCTCGGTTCAGCCGGCAGAGAGAGCCGGAGGGGAGCACAGCGGGGAGCACATGTTCGCTGGTCTCCCGGGCGCCCGAGGCCGTCGGCTTGTGCGAGGCGGCTGCGCGGCGCTCCCGCTGATGCCGCACGCCGGCCTCGAGGTTAGACGGGGCGAGGGGTGCCATCAGCTGTGGGGGTCCTTCCCGCGACAGCGGGGTCCAGTGGGTACGCCGGCTGTACCCGCGACGTGCGTCCTACCTCACGGACACCGAGCGCTGCGCGGTTTGAAAAGTTACCGCCGCGGAGCCGCACAGCTCAGTTCTGCCTCCAGCGTGTTTTCCGGGAGCGCCTCGCAGGGAGTGGGGGTGACGGTGCCTTCCCACGCGTGTGCCCGCCGCGGGTGCGAGGCGCAGCGGGGATGCTGCGCCCCAGGTGTACCCACCTGCCGCTGGCAGCGCCCGGGGGCCACCGGGGGGCAGCGCGCAGTGAGCGGCCGCCGAGCTGGCGGCCTTCCCCCTGTGCCTGCCGCTGCTGAGCTTTTGGTTTTAGCAAGTAGCGGCTCCTGTCGCCCTCACTCTGAAAGAGCCCGTGACGGAAATACATGTTCCGTCGCATCGCTCAGTGGAGAGCGGTACTGTCACCGCGGTGTGAAACTTGTGCTGCTTTAACTTCAAGCTCGCCTGTGAGAGCTGTGCGGGGGGACCTGTGGCTGTCACTGCTTGCAGTATCTCTAGGGTCGGCCGAGTTCCTCAGTTCATTAGCAATCCCCTATTTTTATGGGTTTTGACAACATTCGGGGAAAAGGCTCGACTTAAAATCTTTTTGGATGGCTGAGCAAAACGTGCAATAGTCTGGCAAGCAGTCATGGCAGTGGATCATACTACTAGGTGAAAACGTTGCGATCAACTATAGAGGAAGGAAATTAGGCATTGTTATGTTGGGAATATAATACAAAGTATTGCTGTGTCTGACTACGGAAAATATATCGTAAATGAAACAGAAGACTTAATTGATATGCTGTTGTTTACTGTATTTGTTCCATGATAGTTGCAGAAATCAAGCTAGCGGTTGCAGCAGCTTTACTAAAAAAGCAACTGTTCCCTAAAAGCTATTTGATAGCATTAGGAGTGCTCCCCTCCCATCAGCAGGAGAACTCCCAAATCCTACTTCAATACAAGTTTTTATAAGTGAAAAAATATTTTACCAAAACCATGGCAATCTGATTAATGAAATACTTGGTGGATAGACTTATTTAATATATCACGATTACTATAGATAACAAGCAGTAGAAATATAGTTAATGCTATATATTATTCAGTAAAAGGATTTTTGTCCACTTAGAGGATCTGCCCATTCTCTCTGTTTTATGCTGAAAATCAACTCTTACACCCTAAACTTTCTTCTTGAAGGGTGTTTATTTGGTACCTTTTGCTGTCTGGGTTCTTACAGGTTGACTAAATGGATGTAAATTAGTGTTGTGAGAATCACCAAAATATGTACTAGGAATCATCTCACTGCCGTGCCTGAAGTTGCCATACAAAATCTGTAAATTGTAGTTTTGGACCTTTCTCTTTGAGACCATGATGAAAATCTTTAAAACTAGAAAAGTTTGAGTTGGAAATACTGTTTGCAAGTTTAAACCTAAAAAAAAAAAAAAAAAAAAAAAAAAAAAAAAAAAAAAAAAAAAGGTAGTAAATTTCCCAACAGAGTGGAGTCATGACACAGCAGCACTGTAAACAAGGAAGATTGCCAGTTGCGTTTAGATAATTGCCTGCATAGAAAGCGTGCCAGTTTTAATTTTTAATTGCAAATGACAATTTTGGCAGCTGTAAATGCCAACATTACATCTTTTATCTGAACAGAACTACGTGAAAGAGCCTAAAACATTACTATAATACAAAGGCACCTAGTAATAGTATTACCTTTAAGGATCTGTCACTGCTTCATTGTTTAAGGTGCGTTTGAAGTTCCATTGCATTTCAGTTTGACAGCCATCCTTATTGTCTATAAATTACTTTAACATATTTATATAATTCTGATTTAATTGCAGTCACATAGATAGTACTTTTGGTGTTTCAGGCTCCTTTTTTTTTTTTTCAGCCACCTGATGAAATGCAATTATATCTTGGAAAACAGGCTTTCTTACAGAATTAAAAACCCAAACAAAACAAAATAACTACATCTTTTTGAAGAAAAAGGTCTTGAGGCAAGTAGCTTACAGTTGCAAGACATTACTAAGTACGTGAGATATCTGCTCCTACCACTGCTAAGCTATTCTTGCCTGCAGTGGAGCCTGTTATAGCTCTGTTCTATTTCTGTTTCAGGAATGGGCTATCTGGGGTGAGACCTTTTGAGCAGATCATTGGTCTCCTGAAACCTCACTCCGATATGCAGGTTGAAGTAATGCAAGGGTGGCTTCAGAGTTGCAGCTTGAAGTCTTTGATCTAGAAGTTTATTTAGGTTTGTATGTTTGTTTTTTTAAATAAGAAGTAGGGATTTGACATTAGTTACAAATAGAAACGATTCCTGCAGGGATATTGTCATTTGTCATTTCCATAGGGAAAACCACTTCGGAGCTGAGTTTGCTCTTCTTTTTCTTTTTGCCCTTTCAACTAAGAGAAAAATAGGCCAACCATCTAAGGAATGAGTGTTGTGACCTACATTCAGAAGTCAATTGGTTGGTTTATTTGTAAATACAGACTTGCCAAGTGCTAGAAAAGACAGCTCTTCCGCAAACTTCTGCTACTCAAGGAAGGATTTACTCTTGAGCAAAGGCCTTTAACTTCAGTAAAGTTGTACTGGGGAGCAGAGACATAAATTACGTGTTTCTTGACTCCTTTTTGTGCACCTCAGTAGCTCTTTACATGGAAGCCCCATTAAAATGATATATCTTTCCTGAGAGTTTTTGAAAATCTGCTTTTCAGATACCATAGTTTTTTGTTCTTCATCATTCAGGAGCAACAAAATATGAACACTTATAAAATCAGAAAAGAACATTCTACAATTTTTGCACAATGGGTCAGTAACTTAAACTCTTGCTAGTAAAATATTTATGCCACACCACATCACCTACACATGGAGCATGTGCATATTTAACACGTGGGCCTATGTTAATATGCTGAAATAATGTAACTTTTCAAAGCATCCTGTCTTGGGATGTTAGAAGATTTCTTTCTGTTACTGCTGTTGCAGTTCATTTAGGTTATTTTGGGTTGTTTGGTGTGATAAAAATGTATAGCTATTGTGGTAGAATGATCAAGGGGGAATTCCAGATTGGTTGCAAATTTAACTCTGGGTTTCATCTTCAGCTGTCATATGGATTTTGTATTATTTTTGTTCTTAATTGACATTCTGAAAATGAGATGGCATTAGATGTTCAGCAAAAAAAATACTGCTCTTTGATACTGTTTATATTGGTAGGATATAATTAGTTGCGTAAGTTCCCTAATTTAACATGTTGGATTTATTTCAGGAATAATAAAGTTTCTGTTTCCTATTGACTTCTTTGTGATATATTCCATGCAGAAGTTTTTAACATTTTTTGTGGGAATATCCTTCTCTTTACAAAGCCAACACCTTTTGCTTTGGAAGTTTCTAAATCCCAAATCAATCCCAAATCACAGACCAGGATGTGTGCACAAAGGCAGTAGGACTTTGCTTGACCTGTATTGATAGTTTTTCGCAGGCACCCACTGTTAGCTGCTGCTGAAGATAAGATACAGTTATAAATTAATTGTAAGAACCTGTATGATGTTCTTCTTGTCTTTTGCATTGTTGATGGAAAAAGACCAAAAAATTATTTCTGGAAAAAACTCTAATGATACCATCAAAGATTTAACTAGCTATTTTAGCTTTCCAGATCTTCCAGAAAGGACATAGCTTACTAGTGATCAGATGGCTATTGAACAGCAGGTCTTTGCATGCGAGCTAGCAGCAGTGCATCATACTGTGCCCTTTGTATAATTATGGAGGTTCCACATTCTGATTAGAAAACCAAAAATGTGCAACAGCCTAAATACTTGCTTTTTCTCGTACTATTGAAAGTAGGAGAAATGATTTTATCTATTCTTTTATCCGTCTTAAGGCTTTTAATGAACTAGTTCCAGGTGCTGTGTTGGTAGCTTTATGGCTTTTATCTTTTCAGTCACCATTTCAGAGTCAGGGTCTGATATTGTTAGGATAATAATATTTTTCTATATGCTTTTAAAAACAAATAGCAACATGATATTTACAAATAATAGGGTTGACAACCTAAATGTGTGGCAAATCAAATACTATTAGGTATTAAGAAGATAAAAATTTAAAATTCTTTAACTGTGGCACCTGAACTTTATTAGGCATTTTCTTTCAGGGACAGTGAATGATGGTGGATATTTAGATGCACTTCAGTATAAATCTGCAGCAATCTGCCTGAGCTGAAGTAGTTTTTGATTCTATATATGTGCATGTTTCTCACCTACACATTGTTTTGAAGGAACCTTAGGAAGTTTACCCAGTCCAGCTGGTAGGACACACTCTTCCCAGTCTTGTCAGATGGGCTTTGTCTGGATAGGTCTTATGCTTTGCTGAATGCAGGTCCCACCACCTTGCTGGGCAACAACACTGGTGTAGACCCTGCTGGTCAACAACACCTGCCTGTTGAAAAAAGAGGGGGGTTTGCATGCGGAGGGAAGAATGGAAGAGCCATCCTGAACCTCCCAAGTGGCAGTTCTGT